GCTTTAGAGCAATCCACAGCAATTCCTGTTGTGTCAACATCAATGGAAGAATTTGAATATAATCGGTTCGATCTTTTTTATTTAACTGGATCTAAGGTAAGTTTTTCCCCTGCCCTACTTACATTTGGTCCATCTAATTCCTGTAGTAAAAAGAAAAGCGGCACAATATGTATGGCAAAATTCTTATTGAAGGTCGACTTTAACTGCAGTGAAGGAGGGTATCCTCTGAAGTTTCCTCCTCTGTTGGCGCACAGTTAGGTGGTGAAGTTCTCATCATTAAATTTCATTTAAGGATACTGGAATGTGAGCAGAATCTTGCAGCACTGAACAAACAGATGCAAAGGTGTATGTTTAATTGGTTCCATTGGTTTTAACCATATGTGGACAAACTTGACTTGACCGATAAATTGTTCAATATGTTTTCTTTTGTATATTAACTTGGGCTGTGTTGAATATTGAAATAAACTACCAAGTCTCTTTTTGGATCATACATGTATGTGTAGAAATAATTGTGTAATCAAGTTTAATGTTATGTTGGTGGAAATTAAGTGACACTTTGTTTAGATACTGCACCATAATGGAAGAAAGGTTGTATAACCTACATCTAATTCTAAAGAAATTGTTTGAGTTCTGGACTAATTTTTCCACCAGCAACACTTTGCTTAATGGCCTTCATGACATCACTTGAGCAAATCTCACCCTTCATTATCAACAGTTGACTTTGAAAGTCCACAACAGCAAAACCTGTGGTCACAATCTCAAACTCTCCTAGGAATGTAAGAATCGCTGATATTCCTCTTTTTGATGTAATAAGCAGTGCTGTTGGGGTCCATCTTGTGGACAAATTTGTGTTTAAACACTCTCCACCGCCGTAAGCTCTTTTTGGCATTGCATTTGTTTTCCCCATACTAAGCCAGCTTAACATGCTTTGCCTCTCTACCCTGCATTGAATTGAGGCCTAATCCATAGCAAAGCCTCAGATGTTAAACTTCCTGTCCAGATGTTACCCTTCGTGTCCAACTGTCCTCACAGTAGAAGTGACACCATTAAGCAACAAACAGTTGGCATTGAAAAAGTGTTGGCGTGAGGTCTTTAGCTTTCCCACTTGCTCAATGTGCACCTCGACTGTTGAGTAAATAGAAACTGTGTCTCTGAATTCGACAACAACAAATGCCAGTGTGAAGTTTCACAACTGAGCCCTTTGAAAGAGAGTTGATCCTCAAAAGTTCCTATATCCTATAGTTCGTAAGTGGGATGACATTTATTTCATGTCAGATGGTATCAGTTCAAATTTGAACACAAACCCACTATCTCAGTGGTCAATGTCTTCTTTTCAATCTGTTCCATTTCTTTCCTCAGGTGATTTGAGTAAGATTTCATGATTGGATGATCTTCTTCACAGTTGGCAGCAAGGAGTAAATTATTATCATCACAACTTTGTACTCTGTTTAGCAGGTTGAGAAAGCTAACTAAGTATGCAGTGACTGTGTCATCCTTGCCAAATGGCGCACCATCTGTCTCCACTGCCACATACAGTACTCCTCACTCAACCTAACCAAAAGATCACATCCATCAGAATATTTTATTTCAATCACTATCTACTTACAAAAGACCTTTAGAAGGAGTTCTGTTAGTTTTTGAGGGAAACTTTTCAGGATTTGCAAAATTGCCATTTTCGCTTCAAAATAGGTAAAATGTATGAAGCTCTCACTGCGATGGTATTTAACCAATTACTCTGAGGATTTGCACACATATTTTTCCATCCTTAGTTAATGTTCACCACAAGTATCAGTCAATTTGATTGACGGCTTGTCAATCAACAGAGGCAAAGAAACGACTGTGTTTTTAGACTTTTCGATTCATCCAAATATTTGACAACTTTGAGGTCAAATATCTCCCCTTGCCAGAAAGCTACAACACTAATCTTGATTCCCCTTTATTTCATCTCTGAAAATCATCAAAAAAATCTTTGGGCGCTACCGTATTTTTGTCTTGGATGCCTTTTAAAATCCTAAAGCAAGAATTGCGTGACAGGTGTAGTTGAGAGAAACTTGTCAGAGTCGCAGATTTTAAAAGGCATCCAAGACAAAAACACGGTGGCGCCCAAAGATTTTTTTGGTGATTTTTTTGTTCTACTGATTCTAAAAACACAGTCGTTTCTTTGCCTCTGTTGATTGACAAGCCGTCAATTAAATTGACTGATACTTGTGGCGAACATTAACTAAGGATGGAAAAATATGTGTGCAAATCCTCAGAGTAATTGGTTAAATACCATCGCAGTGAGAGCTTCATACATTTTACCTATTTTGAAGCGATTTCCTTGGTGAAAACCAAGAAAAACCGGGGGGGGTGGTCAATCTCCCCCCGGAAAAAACCAAAACAGAAACCGGTTTGTCTTTTTGAGTTTTGAGGTAGACCCTTTAAACTGGCAAAGTTTCAATGAAATCGGTGAAATGGCATGTAGCACGACTGACCGGTGCTCTCGTGTACAGGCTCTTAAATCGATACCGAGGACCCGTTTCCAACTTGCTAAGAGTGCCTTAGTTGCCTTCCTCCACGATTACTAGCTTTCTTGACAGCTTTCTGAAGACAGAATACTTTCTTTCTGAAGACTTCTGATATGCGGCTATTGATTATTACACCTTGTATATCTGATTGCTCAAACACTTTGTTTACGATTGTTGAAAGGAACGACTCATGGTTCTCCGTCTTCGTCTTTACATTGCTTTGAAATAGTATAGATTAGTAAGCTGAAACGAAAAATTAATCAGGGAAGTTTACGAAAAATCCAGCAAACAAGCTTAAAAGGGGCATTTATTTAGACTTCATATTTCAACGAACTTCACAAATCTTACCTGTTTATCTTGTAAATAAACGATGGCAGATTAATTCCCGAAGCGCTTTCTGAGTTTCCCGATCCCTCTCCTACTGTTTTCACGCTTAAAAAACAGGAAAAAATCAAAAGGAGCAAGATAAAGCTGTTTTGAAACGCCATTTGACGAGCGTAAATCTGCTTTTTGTTCGACACTTTACATATCAAAACAAAGGAAATTTGTTCCTCTTTTTGATTCTGACGGTACATTTTTAATTTGCGCCTGCGTAAAAGAGATATCGCCCGAGACCCTTCGCTCGGTCGTGTTTTGATCAAAAACGCCTTGTTAATTTCACGCAACCGCTCGGAGAAAAGGTAAAAATGACGAGTAAAAACTTTACCTTCAAGTTGGAAAATTAGCGAAATAGAAAGCCACAATATTATAGTTTAATATTTCAGACGTACATTGAATGCTTTTTTCGTAGAGAATCCGCACGATAGTAAAATATTCGAAAATTACACTCGATTTGAGTGGGGTGTTGAAGTGGGCGTGGTCACCATATTCATGTTAAGACTATTTGTACCCCATGAGTTTGATATGGTTTAAGCGTCAAACTTGTGGCAGCGTTATCTAAAGCAAGTAACAGAACATTTGACAAACATTGCAGGACCAACATTGAAATCGCCCCCCCCCCCACCCCCTTACCCTCTCGCTAGCTTTTGTGCCCACTTGAATATTACTAATTGGCTGAGTTATAAGTCGCCCAGTCTCCTTGGTCCAGAGAATGGCTGCGAAGGAGACTGAAAGTAATTCATCTTCTCGCTAGTTGTTGTGACCTTTTGAAGATAGCCAATTTCAAAGGAATTTCGCTGGGACACTACAGAAGTCTCAATACTATAATCAGAGTTCTGACAAAACAACAACAAAACAACTATAAATACCAAGAAAAATCAGTTTATTGACTAAAATCAACTGTGGTTATCAAAATTTACCATAGTGAATTAAATTAAGGTTATGAGCAAGTGCTATTCTATCAACACTAAAAACTGAGAGATCCTCTTTCTAACATGAAAATTTTCAAAACATTTAATTTCTAGTCGTTATCAAGCACAAACGTCTTTTCTCAATATGCTAATTATATTATTCTCTTCCACTTCAGTGAAAGAGCACAAGTGCCTTTTTTAAATTATACTGGATGTTGACATGAAAATAACAATCTAGCAACTAAGTAAACTTGGTATATATAACTGCTTTTCTACCCTGCATTATGGAAAAGGAAACAGATCTGGAATTATTCATCCTGACCACTTAAACGATGACTGAGTCTCGTTTTACAACGCCGCAAACTCAAACTCGGTTAACTCGAGCGTATTTCATGTATTTCAGTCATCTCTATCTGTAAAATATGTCCTTTGTTACGCTCCCTCCCCCCCATATACTTCAGGGAACACAACACTGACCATGGTCACATCTACAAGTTGGCATCAAACTTTTGCCGGTTTTCCATTTTGCAGGAAACCGTTAGAGGTGAAGGAGAACGTTTGCCAATTGACTGGGAATCGTTACATCAAATTTAACATTTCACAAATGGGGGATTCTGGTGATAGTAACCAAGGACGCCATACGTAACACAAACCGAACCCATATTTTTGAGTATAATTTACAACCAGCGCCAATGGCAGAGGAAATTCAGTCGGCCCAAAGGGCGGAAAAGCCAATAATGGGCCTAACTGGTCGTATAAAAATTGAAAATTGAGTTTAGTTTTGTGCTGATCAAAGGGAAAAAGTGATTTCATATTAAACTTTCACAGTCAATTGAAAATTACTTTTAGATATATGTAACACCGTATTTCCTCGAGGAACCACCCACACCCTAATAAGCCCCCTCCCTCAATAGGCACCACCCCCATAATATCAAACAAGCGTCCCCCTCCTTTTTTCTCGCTTTTTCAAAAAGTTTGGATACGAGGAAAACCTATATTTTTTATTTCCACTTTATATATAACTTTATGAGCTTCAGCTAGAATAGTTTCTTAGTAAGCGCCCCCCCTTCCCCCTTTAAGCTTAAATTTTGAATAAGAGCCCGGGTGCTTATTCGAGGAAATAGGATGATTGAAATGCACAAGAATATTAAAAACTGACCGACAACTTTTTTTGTGCACGTTAACAACAGCTGCTATGTGCTCTTCATCGGAGAAATGTAATATTTACCCAACCATGACCAGCGCTATTATAGCAACATTCATTTTGTTGATTTGTTCCATTGTTAAAAGATCCTCCCCCTCCCCCACAGGAAATATTATCATTAACCCCGCCACTTCCCCCAGTGTAACCACCACCACCGCCCGGTCCCTTGTTGAAAAAATGTAAACCACCGCCACCTCCGAACCCACCAACAAACCCTCCACCCTTTCCCCCCTGAAGATATCCTGAACCTCCTTCTCCCTCTACTTTACCAGAGTTCGTTGCATCATGCCCATTATTATGGAAGCCGCCACCACCGCCACCTACAGTACAATCAAAAAGCGATCAGTGATTATCTTACAAATAGCACCCACAATTTTAATTTCTTGCGATCAAACGGCGATTTGCAGTGTTCCGAAATGTACTTTAGTTCTTGATTTTTGGAGTTTAATAAATGGAGATTCTTAGTATAAAAAAGCTTATGAGGACAAGTCAGCGTAAAAATGCTGCAACTAACTCTTTATTTAATGCCTCTGTTTAATCCAGATCCGCAACTGACGAATGAGAAGCCTTGTCAAGTTCTTCGATGTCATCTCCTGCGGTATATTCGCGGATCGATGTCGATAATTATATAAATATGCAGGAAATTTGAAAAGAAAAGAGCAAAATTTAACAGAATCTTAAGTCTTGTAGGAGGCACTTCCAAAGGAATCATCAAAGAAAAGCTTAATTAATAACTAAAATTAACATTGAGAATTTTGATAATTACGGTTTTTATACATCCTTCAAATATGATCATCAGCGACTAACTCTATCATTAAGTTAGAGATAGTGAAGCATGGCAGTAGAATGCAACGAGTTTCTCAGTATTTATAAAAAGGAAATTCTCCACCAACCAGAATTCACACCATTAGTAAGTCCTCCTTGTCCTTCTCTTCCCCCTGATCCCAGTGGCCAGTTGTTCCCTGCATTTGCAGTGGTGTCTTGGGACGCATCACATCCCGGATGTTGTTCTGACATATTTTTGATTCCCCCTCCACCTCCAGCTATGATTAAAGGCGTGTTTGTTCGTCTCACAACAAATGTACCTCCACCACCTCCAGCAGTTTTTAAGTTGGTCCATCCTTCTGTTCCTTTTTGACCAACAAGTATATGAATGATCTCATCTTTGGTCAAAATAAAGTTTCCAATCATTCGTGCCCCTCTTCCACCGTTCTTGATGATACTGTCCTCGCCGTACCCCCCTGAGGCTCCTATTGCTTCTATTCTGTATTCGCCAGCGTGTGGCACAGTCCATTGTTGAATACCGCTGGACAATGTAACTTGCCCGTCGTGATCCTGACCTGCGTAGTGACTTCCAATTTGGACTGGACCCGTACTTCCACTCTTACCAAGAGTTGTAAACACTGCTGTAAATCCTTTATAATAATCGCAAAATGAAAGGGAAAGTTATCGTACTGTTAAGAAATTAATTGTCAAATTGCTTTGGGTATTGCCAATGTTGCACACTACCGCTTACAAAAAAAAGTATTCCTGTAAATTCGACAGATACGGTTATCTTCATGACGGTATCTTCGCACTGGCTCTGGTAATTATCATAGAATCTACTTTCAACCGCAAATATGCTGTCACTCTTGCTGGTAACTCCTCGGAAACTGGTAAATTCACCAAGCTGCATAGCTTTCAACGACGCAAAATGCAAATTCGTTCACATCTTTAAGAGGGACATCGCTCGAGTGTGTACCTTACGCTTAAGACCTAAGCATCACTGATCCCCGTGACCTCCAATGGGCAGAGCATACAGGAGAAATAACCTCAAAAGCCAACAAAACCTTTCATGAATCAGGCGAGTTTTCCGCGGTGTCAATGACGTTTAGATAAGGAAGCTGCTGTGCTGTCCTGCGGTCAGACCCAAATTTAAATAATACTCCTGCCTATGGTCTCTTTATTATACAGTCATACATGGAGCATTAATTGAGAAAATCCAAAGGTCTCTGACTAAGTTTATTCTTAATTACCCACTGAATAATGTCTCTTATGCTGATGGGCTCGTTCTGCTGGGCCTGCTGCCGGTAGAATACCCTACAGAAATTAGGGACATTACACTTTTGTACAAGTTTAAGTCTGGTGCTGTGTCCACCAGAAAAATATGGAGAGATAAGATGGAATGATATGTTATAAACAGTTACCTGTGCATTTGGTTCCATTTCCACGAAATCCGCCTTTACACTTGCAGTTGTACGATCCCCGGGTATTGTTACACTCAGCATTCACATCACAGTTATGTGTTCCGTCAGCACATTCGTCCAAGTCTTGAGAATTAAAAAAAGAAGCATCTTTTATACGGAACCTGTTTCATGTTTTTATCTCGTGTTTTGTGGTGTTGTTGTTTCTCGCTTGTTTGCTTTAATTAATTTTTGAGATCTTACAGTCAACTATTTTATTTTTGTTGTATCGTTACCATGTTCCCACCAATATTGTAACTCCATATTCCGCATAGAAACAGACACAACCCACAATTCCCCCATTTGCTCTGACGAAGGACTAACGCTCGAAACTTTAGATTTTAAACTCACAACAGTGGCCTATTTTACGTTATCAACTCACTTGATGAAACCAAATTACCTTTGCAGCTAGTTCCATTTCCACAAAATCTATCTTTACACGTGCAGTTGTACGATCCCCGGGTATTGTTACACTCAGCATTCGCATCACAGTTGTGTGTTCCCTCAGCACATTCGTCCAAGTCTAGAGAATTAAAAAAGAAGCATCTTTTGTACGGAACCTATTTTTATTTTGTTATCTTGTGTTTTGTGGTTTTATTGTTTTCTCGTTTGTTTGCTTTAGTAGATTTTTGGGATGTTATAGTCAGCTACTTTATTCTAATTTTCTCGCTACCATGTTCCCGTCAATACCGTAGCTCCATTTTCCGGATATAAACAGACACACAACCCGCAATTCCCCCATTTGCTCTGACGAAGGACTAACGGTGGCCTATTTTACGTCATCAACTCACTTGATACAACTAAATAACCTTTGCCGTTGGTTCCATTTCCATGAAATCCATCTTCACAGATGCACTTGTAAGATCTCAGGGTATTGTTATACTCCGCATTCTCATCACAGCCGTTTGTTTCACTAGAACACTCATCTATGTCTGAGACAACAAAATGAGCGCCACATTTATATAAGGGTTTGTGTGTATTTGACGTGCTCTGGCCGCAAGTGTTTTCGCCTCCATGCTAACGTTCCCGTTGTCAGATAAGAAATGGCCACACATTTATTTTACTGACTACAAAAAAATTTAGAGGATTCCTCACCTTTATCACAATCGTGGCCTTCAAATCCAGATCCAAAAGCGCACAAACACTTATAATCTCTGTGTGTAAAGCCAGCTTGGCACGTTGCATTATTTCTGCAAGGATTACTGGCGCAAGCATTCTTAAGAAGAAAAAGAATACGACCACTTCAATTTTTGTGCTTGTCTTCTGCGCGTGTATTCATGTTTGCGTGTTCTGAATGTTATGCATGTTTGTAAAATCTGCGCGTCTTCCCTGATGTCCATGTATTTCGCGCAAGCTTTTTTGTTATTTACGCAAATGTTTGTGTTGAGCACATTTGTTCCCGTTCCAAGCATGGCACTGTTCAGAGCGAGAGCAAAGTCTGCGTGTATCTTATAAATGTGAAAAAACAGCTCCATAAGCGGTCATTCGTAAATAACAAAGTATGCCTCTCTTATTTCTTTATTTCAACATTTTAAACGTTCAATTATCGTAACCTATATTCTGGTGGGTGGAAGGAGAATTTAGAGGAGTGGCAGAGGTCGAGGGATGCTTAGTCTTAGTCTTGTAAAAAGGCCTCAACGACTTAAAAGTCTCATACTCTTGGCTTAAAAACGTCATCCTCACCTCAGCTCCGTGGTAAATGTAACTTTCGTTTTTTACCAGTTCTCCATCGTGTTCAATGGTCGCGTTATTCAGATCACACTTGTGTGTTCCAGACGCCTGTCTTAGCTTATGGAAGTTATAACTGACACAGTTAGGTTCCAGATAGCATTGTAACCTGCAGAGATCCTCGTCGAATACTTCAATAGTTCGAACCGTATGATTCTCCAACTTGTAGCCAGGTTTAGGAAAACTGGTAAACTGCAAATTGCGGCAGTCGCCTGGTGAACAATTATATTAAGAAAGTTGCTATGTCACATTGAGCCCCTCTACTGAGACTGGAATTGTAGAGCAGTGTTACTGCTGACCTTTTGCTTTAATTTAGCACCAAGAGAGTGATTTATATTAATAATCTGACCTATCAAGTTATCTTCCTTTGGTTGTGATCAGCCATCGTGATCGAAAGAGTTGCAGAAATCCACAAACACCTTTGTTGTTACATAGAGTGAATCGTGTTTATCACGTGATAATGGTCCTCTCCTCTGAGCATATTTGGTTCTTTAAATCAAAGTGCTCTGTGAGCAAACTCGTGAATTGACACATGATTTTTTGGATTATGTTTAATGTTATCTGGTTTAGAGAATTTTGTGGTTGATTGTCATATCTAGAGTACGAGCAGTAGTTCAGTGTTCGCTAATGTAACAAAGAAACAAAGTAACGTTGGGATAAGAAGGCATTACAATTGAAATGCTCATGCTATTGCATTTGACAAGGGTGGATGATGTCATGTGTTTTAAACGTATATCATTTCTGTTTGTGGTTCAAAAGAAAAGGTTGGAAGTAAATGTGGGTGAAAAGTGAAATTTACTGTCTATCATTGTAAATATCATGATTAGAAAATCAAGGCAATACTTTCTTAATGAAAACATTAACGATTCCCTCTTTATCAAATGAAACAAACGGGAACGAGGTTTGAGTGATATAACTAAGCTAAGAGAGATTTTAGTCACGTGCTAGGCAACGTATAATCAATAACAAGATAGAATTTCATTTCAGGCTATTTATCAATTTTGTAGTGTATAACTTTCGCATTTTAGTACGTAATATGCATTTTGAATC